TTAAAAGGAATAATTTTGATCAACACTGTTTTTAACCAACGCAAGATTAAAAGTAAATTTTAATCAACACTACATTTTTAACCATGGTTGAGCGTTTTTTAATCAACAATTTTTTAACCCGCAGTTTTTTAATACTTGTTTTAACAGTGTACATAGAAAAACGTGCCTCCTTTTACTTCAGATAAATGCCCCTAATTGGGTGCCCACATTCTTTCATAAGTGCTAGCTCTTACCACCTTCACTAAGTGCCCCCTTCACGAATGATAATTGCCGCTATCCAAATCTGAAAGGTGCCCGTTTTTACTTTAAAAAGTGTCATTTTCTTTTGTTTTAATTAAGTGCCCCTTCCCTTCTGATAATGCCTCTTTTCATTTGACACGTGCCCCTTATCTTATAAAAGGTGCACTTTTTGCTTATGATAAATGCTCATTTTCTTTTTTTTAATAAGTGCCCCTTTCCATCCTCAAACGTGCCCTTATTCATTTCAGGTGATAATTGTCCCTTTTTCATGCCACTTACCACCTCTGATAATGCCTCTTCACCTGTTATATTTGCCTATTAATTTAATCAGGTGTTTTCAGACACCTAAGAATGACTAATTTTTCACGCCTGGAAATCACGGATGCCCAGCTTATATCAAGAATCCGTTTGAGTCACGAGATCATCACCGCGGAACTTATTGCAACTTTGATTACCATTTAAACAGATGTTTTAAGACTCCTAATAATTACTAATTGTTCACACCTAAATATCACGGATTCACAGTTTATAGATTAGTAATCAGTTTTAGCCACGTGATCATCACCAAGAAAGTTATGGTAACTTTGACTACCATTTAAATAGGTGTTTTAAGACACCTAAGAATTACTAATTTTTCACACCTGAAAATCACGGATGCCCAGCTTATATCAAGAATCCGTTTGAGTCACGAGATCATCACCGCGGAACTTATTGCAACTTTGATTACCATTTAAACAGATGTTTTAAGACTCCTAATAATTACTAATTGTTCACACCTAAATAACGGATTCACAGCTTAGATTAGTAATCAGTTTTAGCCACGTGATCATCACCAAGAAAATTATGGTAACTTTGACTACCATTTAAATAGGTGTTTTAAGACACCTAAGAATTACTAATTTTTCACACCTGAAAATCACGGATGCCCAGCTTATATCAAGAATCCGTTTGAGTCACGAGATCATCACCGCGGAACTTATGGCAACTTTGACTACCATTTAAAAAGGTGTTTTAAGACACCTAATACTAACTAATTTTTCACACCTAAATAACGGATTCACAGCTTAGATTAGTAATCAGTTTTAGCCACGTGTGTGTGTGTGTAGGGGAAAGTGGGGCATAATGGAACACTTAATTTCAAACTTGCAATATGACGTCATCAACGACACAAAACAGTAAAAATAACAGTTTCAGATAGATGTTGTATGCACTTTATTATGTCAACGAAAAACCGACAAAAACCACGGTAAAATTGCAGAGAAACTCGAAACGAATTTTACAAAAGAAAAATCCAACTTGCCCCATCCCTGGGGCATAATGGCACTCCCCCTGGGGCAAAATGGATCTACGGATCCGTATTGCCCCATCAGAACCCTAACGTTCTATATTGAGTAATGTACCTAAAGTAACTTTAAGCAAACTTGGTGGGCAGAGCTGCATAATGAAAGCCTATAGTAGTTTCAAACATTTATAGGGCAAAACTGGAAAGGTAATCGTAATAAAGCCTGGTTTAAAAGTAGAAAATGTAGACTTGTAAAATGTGCACTACACTCTCAATTTCTTAGACTGGAATCTGGGTCACATTTTCGTTCTGATACAACCACTAGTCACGTAAACCAATTGCTAGGCACATACTTTGAATTCAGCTAACTTATACATCTAAAACTGACTGGGAAACTAGAACAACTATCGATTCGTTTTATGAACCAACTACTTTCAGAATGGAACATGAAACATTGGTAAACAGGCCCCTATAAAAAGGGCGAAAACAGTATTTTTTTAATTTTTGTGAATTATTTTACAAGACAAAACAAAATTAGTAATGTTGATTTTTATTCCCTTTATGCATTTGTTGTCTCTGTGCTATAATGTCAGGCGCGGATCCAGGATTTCTTAGGGGAGGGGGCCCAACTTTTTTTTTTTTTGCTCCCGAAAATTTGAAAATCGCGCCGGCCGAAAATTCGCTCAGTGGGGGGGGGGGGGGGGGGGGGGGGGGGGGGGGGGGGGGGGGGGGGGGGGGGCACATTTTTTTTTTTTTTTTTTTGATCCTCAAAACAATTTCAATTTGCACCCCCCCCCCCCTTGAGCGCCAGGGGGGGGGGGGCCCAACCCCCCAAAAAGGTAAAAATCATGTGATTTTACATGAATTTTTTCTCAAGGGGGGGGGGGGAGGGGCCAGGGCCCCCCGGGCCCCCCAATGGATCCGCCACTGTATAATGTCACCATAATTAAAGCACCTACTGGCTCAACAATGAATGATATTTGGAAATAAAGAGTGGAGAACGTTTAACTTATACAAATACAACAAGAAAATCCAAATATAATGATAAAAATACATATATGCATACAAACAAGTGCACACGCACATTCACTCAACCATTCAGTCTTTAGGACCAACAGGGACACCATAACATGTGAGTGGTTTACTTTTTTACATTTTTATTTGAAGCCGTAAACCCTTCATTTGCTTAAGTCAAGCTTTCACAAGATATGTTATTTTCAATTGGGGCAAAACGGAACCCTGTTCCATTTTGTCCCGTACCTATATGGTCTATTTTGCCCCAATGACATATTTTTTAATAAAAGTTTGCGTAGAAAATACCTGAAGCATAGTTGGCAAGCAAACAGGCGAGTCTAACGTTGATATCTTTATGATTAATATATACAAATATTTGATTAGAATCGATACCAAAATTACCAAATTTCAGCCATATGAACATCCCCTTACTTTAGATCATGAGGCTGTAATTTTTTGGATGGGATCTTACTCCGATGTGCCTCGCTGTAACCGGATGAAAATTCAGTGCTGAAATTATTTTGGCATCTTCTCTTCTTCAAAGAATTTGCACAGAGGGCGACCTTTTTTAACATATGCTAATTTCAAAGTTCCATTTTGCCCCCCGGGTCCGTTATGCCCCACATTCCCCTATTGGGTTTTTACAGACGTGTATCAATCAGATATAATTATTTACGTCTAGGGACCAACCTTTAAACGTCACCATGCGAAAGACGTGACTCAGTTTCGAACCTGCGTCCTCGCCTAAATCAGTTTGTAACATCCACTGTTAGCTGGGTTACAGGCGCACGCCACAACGCCTAGTTATCATCACCAAGAAAGTTAAGGTAACTTTGAAACCATTTAAAAAGGTGTTATAAGACACCTAATAATGCCAAATTTTTCACACCTAAAAATCACGGATGCCCAGCTTAGATTAATAATCCGTTTGAGTCACGCGATCATTACCACGGAACTTATGGCAACCTTGACTACCATTTAAAAAGGTGTTTTAAGACACCTAAAAATTACTAATTTTTCACACCTAAATATCACGGAGTCACAGCCTAGATTAGTAATCAGTTTTAGCCACGTGATCATCACCAAGAAAGTTATGGTAACTTTGAAACCATTTAAAAAGATGTTTTAAGACATCTAATAATTACTAATTTTTCACACCTAAAAATCACGGATGTCGAGCTTAGATTAATGATCCGTTTGTGTCACGAAATAATCACCCCGGAACTTATGGCAACTTTGCCTATCATTTAAAAAGGTGTTTTAAGACACCTACGAATTACAAATGAAATGGGCCAGTTAATGGGTTGGAGACAACAAGTTCCAATATAAATGAAAACAAAAGAAGCTCGGATATACAGTTGAAATCCAGTTTAATAACTATATAAGTCAGCCGAAGCTCCAATCGTTACAAACGAAGAGTAATTATTTTAGAAACATTTTAAATATAAGCTGCTTCTCTCAGAGGCTGGGCGGCCCTATTGACAGTAAACTAGCAACACATCCTAAACATGATAACGGAATGAAATATATTCAACTTAACTCAACTAAACTAACCTCAAAATCCCGCACATGGCATTTAAATACTCCGGCACCCGAAGAGGCTTATACATGATATACCCAGCCAACCAGGAGGACCCTTACACAGCCAACCAATTACAATACGGGATATATAAAGTTACCCTTAGGTCATCCGACCAATTAAGAGAGGAGTTATACCTTTAATTAATTATAACCAATGACAAAGCATAATAGAAAAAGAGTGATTTGAACTAGTCACCGACAAAAATGGGAGGAGTCTATCTCTTCGCGAGAATGTCGCGTCCCCGGAAAAAAACAGTCTATTGTCTAACGTGTTATCGGAAATGAACACTTGTACACCTTGATGCAGAAATTCATTTCCAACGTGCTTATCGAAATGAACACTTTAATCTAATGCAAGAATTCAAAAACAGGGGTTGTTTACCCGATCCCGGCATACTATTGGAAACATAATTGATGCTATTTGAAGTTTAGGTGTATACCAAGTCAAACCAATAATCGTACAATTAATCAACCCAGCCCGGCTCTTCTATGGCTCTAGCGCCCCCTTTAGGTCAATGAGTTGCCCAAATCAGCGTACCACTACAATTATGTTTCACACCTGAATATCACGGATTCACAGCTTAGATTATTAATCTCCAGCTTGAGCCACGTGATCATCACCAAGAAAGTTATGGTAACTTTGAAACCATTCAAAAGAGGTGTGTAAGACACCTCAGAATTACTAATTTAATACAACCAGAGATTCACGGACAGAACAATCAGACGATTAGCCGGTGTAAGTAACGTGATTATTACCACCAACCTTGGATAACCTGTGAAACCAATCGATAAAGGTGCTTAAAAGACCAAATAATTACTTATTTATCACCACCATCGGTCAACCGATAACAAATTCGTTGCTTGGTTAAGTGGTTATTTGGTCATAAACACTTGATTTACAGAGGTTAGTGGAATCACGTTACTCCAGTCGCATGATAAATTGGTTGTTTTTTAGGTGAGATGAAAACGTGAACAGGAGTACCTTTACAAAAAATGAAGGCACGAGTTGATAACGTTTGAATCTAGTTCAAAAGGCACCATACTTTAAAATCATTTAGAATACACTACCAAAAGAGGTTATTTTTTAGTGTTCTGTTTATTGGGATGGCAGTGACAACTCGAGATAATAATGCTGAAATGTAATTCATTTCTCCGGGTCCCTGGTTCGTCTGCGGTACATACACATGATGAGGGTGGCCATCAAACAAACTCCCAACAAGAGGACAACGCCAAGAAAAATGAAGACTGTTTTCATGCTCTGTGTGCGATCATGGATGGTTCCTGGATGTGAGACAGATGGAGGGAAGGAGAGAGAGAGAGAGAAATAAATTACATACTGCTCTCCTTGCATTTCGACCGAAATTTCTTGAGACAGATTAAAATACTTATTGCATGATAGACCTAAAAATAAATTCTGGGCTGTTTTAGAAATTGTATTATATTAGTACTTTACAGTACCGCACATGTCGTTCCTTTTTTCACGAAGTGACGGTAATCAGGAAATTCGCAGGCGCTTGTTCAGAAACCTATCCTAAATTTCACCCGTAACTCCGGTGTGGAGATACCCTACTAAAACATACCCAAAATGAAGTAAATATTCATTAAATATTAAAATAAAGATCATGAATTAAAAGTCGTTATTTGTATTACCTGTTTGTATAAGTTTTTTTCCGGATAAACGTTGATATTAGTATACACTTTTTTACCTCGGCTAAATGTTTGCTTTTACTAAATGGAAAAATTACGGCGGGGGGTTAGATGAAATGGACATAATGAAAATAGCAGAAGTGATAATTGATAATTGATAATTCATGCTTCTTATCCTTCGTGTGCTTGACCTATAATCTTACAATCGCTTGGCAGACTGAGTCCAAAGTTTGACTTGTTTCACATTTGTATTATAGGCAATGGCGTGCTTGCAACCTATTTTGAAAAATTACGGTGGGTGAACTTTCAAAAGTCAATGAGACATGAGGGTTCCAATGAAAGAGCTAGTGATAACGTACGTCGGGGTGGACGTGCTTTTCGTATAAACAAAAAATGAATTTTTAACGATTTAAAAAAAAACGTCCATAGGCTAACATGTTAGGCTGCTGACTCTGACGATAGGGGGCGTTGTGAAATGAGACTAAACGGAGCAATTTGACCGTTTTTCCATGAAAAAAAAGACATAAAACAGGCTATAAAAAAAACTGTCAACACTTAAATGACATTTGTATTGCTTTGTGACAATTTCCATTCACCTAAAATGTAATTAAATTTATTATATAGTTGGGAGAATTAAGGAATCGATCAGATCAGTTTTTTTCAATTTGTACCATGAATAATGGTCCGTTTTTACTCAAATTTTCAGATTATCTATAATTGTACATCTAGCATTGAAGTCACTACCTTAGCACCACTATCTCTCATCTGGACAATGTTACCAAGTCCCTTTTAACCTCACAAATTTCGAACCACAATAACATCGAATTATGTCACTATGACGATGACGTAAACAAGAAAATACCTAGTAAAAGGATTTCCTGTTTTCACGAAGTGACGGCTAAGTACGCGCCGAGCTTACAGCCGGCCGTCACTTTGCGAAATTCTCGTCCGCTCATTTTCTGCTTTTATTTGTTTCACGAAGTGACGGGAGTGAAAATTTCGCAATTTGGAACAGTCACAGACCATGAAAAGGTGAGCTTGTTATAGTTTTTGTTTAGGTAAAGAAATGTGATACACTCTTTTGAGTCATTCTGATTCTTTGTAAGCCATAATATGTCCATGAGCGCAGAAATATATATAAAATGCACCGCCGTTCCACACATCGCCCCATATATTTTAATTTGCATGTAAGTGAATAAAGGAGTGAAGTTTGTGATGCAAAACTGAAACGACCAAATCATGTCTGAACAAACATACATCTAGACTAAATACCTTAAGTGGAGGGTCTTTCTTATCTCATTTCACATCAAGTATTGTTTTAATAAGTGTTTTTTTTTTTTTACATCTGCTAAATAAAAGCTAAGAATAAGAACGAACTTTTAAGCTTAACGAAAGTTAAACTTAGAGTTTAGACCCTACTTTTGTTTTAGTTTTAGTTTTACTTGTACTTTTAGTATTAGTAGTTTAGCTAAATATACATTTTATTTAGAGTCTATGGGTGGTATTCCGGTAGCGCGTACTAAGTTAGCGCGTACTTAGTTCACACTTTTATGGAGTGCCTGTTGCAAACTAATTTACCCTGTACAGATTATTTTAATCCTTCAATGAAAAGTGTCCAAAAAATTAATTTTGCAATGAAATAGGAAGAAAAAGATAATATGAGTATGAACTGAATTTCAACAAAGTCTTTGGTAGATTATCTTTGTCATGAATATTGAAGGAGGAAGATGAAACCTAGCATTCCATAGAAGTGTGAACTAAAATTCTTGTTTAGTCTGGACTTAGTCCCGGCTTAACTTATGAGAATACCACCCTATAACTCTAGATCATCATTTCATAATTATCAATTTATGTCAGCCACTAGTCAGTAATCCAGACGTGAGTAGATCAGGATCTAGACAAAACTGAGTCACTGTGACTTTACTTGTAAAGGTGTGCTTGGGGTGTAAGCAGCTTCAGGGCTCCAAGGCTAACATGGCCAAGGACAAGGGGAGTATGAGCTGAGATGGCATGGGATATTTAGACGAGCCTGTTTAACTGAAAGGGAATTCACTGAGTTGCCTTTGAAGCAAAAAAGGGACATGAATGAACAGTTATTAAACAAAATGAAATTCAAATAGTCTACGGTCCTACCCTGAAAATGACTAAATGGCACCATCCGAAAATGGGATACTTTTGTTTGGAGACTGAAGTAATCTCATGAGTAGTCTACCAGTTGGGGAACAATGTCCACACGTTTAGCTTATTTTCTTCCATTGTCTGTACTCAAGGTGTTTTAACGGCAGCACTTTAGTATCCTTGGTCACTTACCCTATACAATAATTTGTTTAAACAATTGTTCTTGATACCAGCAAATGTTGCCCAACTCCACTCCGTGTTTTAAGGAATTTTCCAAGCAAGCACTATACCAGATGGTGTACATGTCACAAAATTGCACAGTAGAATATACAGGAATAACCTACACTTCATGCAGTGGTAATGATTATGATGATGTTTTTGCTTTCACTTAGTTTCAGATGCAGTAGATACATTTTGCGCTTTTATGAAGGAAGCACTTGGACTGGTACATCTACTTTTCAACAATGTTGCAGGCCAGATACAAATCCAGGTGAGAATAGTTGTTATGGTCTGTGCAATAAAATCACACATTAGCAGCATATAGAGAGTTATGATTAATCATGACCGGTCTGTATAATGCCATCCATTGGTTTACGCTCATTACCGAACTTGCGATCGATAAAAATCAGTGAAATTCACTGCTATTATATATGATTGCTACTTAAGCAATTAAATATTAACAGGGAAATATAGATATGGAGTATGTAATGCACTTAGCAGACATAGTACAAAGCTGGACAGAAACGTGTTTCTAATTTTGGCGAAGGCTATATATGTACATGAACATGACCATTGGTATATAATATTTTCAGCTAAAGCCTAAGTCTTGATCATGTTGTATGACAAGTACCAAGCACACTCACTGCGTATGTGAATTGGGGGTGGTAGTTGTTTGGTAGGGGCAATTGAAAACGTCTGTTTGGGGTCAGTTATGCCTAGTAATTAATTTGATGTACAAAATATAATACTAGATTTATTTCTTTTCCTCTGCTTGCAAAAAAAGAAGGAACATAACTTGTACTGTCATTATTTATTTTATTCTACAAAATTGGTGACCTCAAAGTGGGTGCGGTATGGAATTGTTGAAGCAATTCACTAAATACAGTCAGAGCTGCAGATGTGACTTGGCATGGTGACATCAAAGTAGTTCATATGGCTTCGATGGCGTTTATGATGATGAGCTACTGTCTATGCTTGGGAAGAAGTCAAAAGGTATCTTCTTCCCTTCTTGATCGTTTCCCAATAGTTGACATTTTAGATATTCCTAATTAATTGTTGTTAATGTTTAGGTCTCTTAGTTTAAAGGTAATACAAAGTTTTGGTATGGGGTCATGGATTTGGTTCTAATGCACATATTGGAAGCGTATGCCATCTTACAATATTCAGTGATCGTTGTCGCGGTTGAAATCGAGTCTAAAATTATGAAATTGTAAATAATAAACTCTTTATGTTGTATAGCTCCCTCTCAAGGTCAAGATATTAGTTAAGCTATAAAACAAAGTTTCTTGACTAAAATCGACCGATTAGCTATTCGCGTTTTGGAAATTATATATCACAACTACTTATTCTGAGATTTTCATGGTCGCAGCTACCATTGTACGGCCGTAGGCGCTATTTAAGGTTTATCAAAATTTACCGGGAGCACCGGTAAATCTTTATATTCAATTTTTCTCGAAAGCAGAAGTGTTTTAGGGCCTGAATTTTCTAGTGCTTATAATACATCAACAGGGGCATTCAAATATATAACAATTGTTAAGAATCACTATCCACCCAATTTTCAAAATTTTCCAAAGCTTTGTAATACCTTTAAGGGAATGAGTGGTCGTATCGAGATCACCATCTAATTTTTTTTTAAATCCTTAACAAAAATTGCTAATACTAAGATTATACCAATTAAAGTATCTAATTTAAGGCCCTCTCTAAAATTTGGTACCAAAACTACACAAAATAATTTCACCTTATCATAAATATAATGCACTGTAAAGTTTTCCCTTTCATAATTGACATTCTGATAATAATAAATTAAATTAATAATAAATTGATTTTGACTTTTTTATTATGATTTTCCAATCTCTTATTTTCTTGTGCTTTCAAGCAGTCTAGATCAAGAATCTTCACTGCTTCAACCATTATCGCTTGGATGACATACGTGTGAAGAAACTTGAAGAACTTTTGTTGAAGAGCATGCTTAAGAAACTAGAATCAATCATATTGATCGTTGAGGCAATGCTCCAATGTTTCAATACCTAAATCTCTCTTTTATACTGTAAAAGAGTAATCATTTTGAATATCATAAATATAGAAAACTACACTCATAATTGTAATTGTGTGTAGAATTCAGTAATCGCAATGAAATGGATTGATTTAAAGTGAACTGGTAACTGTGTCCATGATTTCTGAAACAATGAACTGAATGGTCGAACCTGTGTCAGTTTTCTGTTACAGTATAGAGGGCGCTGTTATGCTGACGCCTACACTTATATTTTTACTCAGACTTTTTGATTTTTTTTTCACCTAGAATTTTACTTTTTCGTCAAATGTGTTACGACTTTGCATAGCTATTTGGGCAGAAACCAACGTTAAGAAAACCCCATAAACATACCTTACCCATCTGGCTATGCATTTTCCAACCAAAACATTTAATTCTTTTGAATATAAAAAATGTATTTCTATTCATATATTGTATAAGTCTAATATATAATTTTATTGCAAATATGGTAATACAATTCGAATTTCTGTACATGTACCAAGCAATTTGCCAAGGTCGTTGAAGCACAATTATATATCATATGTACAAAAGAATTCCAATTTTACTACCATAATGCTACCATGCATAATGTTTTACGTGTAATTTTACTTTGTCACTGATGTATACTTTGTAAAAGAAACTGCAATTCGGCTCTCGGGCCGCGAATGTTTTTTAATGAAATAAACCATTTTAAATTAAATTAAAAAAAATTAAAATATTGTAATGAACTCCAGCAAACATAAATCTTTGATATTCAAATGTTTAGCTCAGAACAGCTATTTATCAGGTAGGCCTACCTCATTTTTAGAAATCATTAATGCATATTAGAGTTTTTAATTTCAGTTCTATCATTTCCATGAGTTCTCATATCGTATCTTTGTATTGAAGAATTTGTTTATTTCTTTTAAATGTTTATATTTATATTTCCACAATTTGTTTTTTCTGTCAAAGCACAATGTTACTAGTTCACATTTAATGGTTTTATTTTTACTTCTCTAGTTATTCTCATCGTAATTGTATTTAGTACTTCAAACTATCATATAATCATAAAATATAATGTTGCCTTTTAAATGTATCTGTATGGTGAGAAGTAAAATTATGTAGTCAAAATGATATTTCCATGTTTATCATGCATTGTTCAGCTGATAATTGTTTAGTCAAAGATTACGTGTTTGCCTGGGTGAAGATAACCTTTTAGCATTGGTAAACTTTTGCAGATGCTCCCAGGCCTTGTCTCACCCCCGCTTGATCGATCCGCTCCCTCCCCGCTAAAGCCTCGCTCTGTCGCTCCATCGTTTTGCATAAATTTCACCCCATGCCATTTTGTCCCCCCCCCCGTAAGAAATTCCTGGATCCGCCACTGATGCCCATACCCTTTGAGCTTTAGGGGGTCCGCCCCTTGACCCCGCCGGGGCTTTGCCCCTAGACCCCACTTTGAAAAACGTTCAGCGGGGTCTGCATGTAAGAGTGGGGATGATGCGGATTTTTTGTGTCAGCCCCAAAAGGTTTTTGCTCATTACGCCACTGGGCATACATACATGGAAGTTTGGTCAAATCTTTTCTCCTTTTTCTCGTCATAATTCGAATTTTCGGGTATTTAAAGAGCAATTGTTAGCGGACATTTTCTACCATGCTATTCTTCTTCCAAACTGACTTAAATGTATTTAGAAAGAGTAAGCTCACACATTAACTTTCACCGAATTTTCAACCTTAATACCTGCTATGTATCCTGAAAGGACGTAGCCCAACCCTAGCATTAACTTATAGACGCTAGAGCCATCGGGGAAATTCTCAGGTCGAACTACCAAGGCCAGGAGGGGCTCCATGGTCATGTTCCCGGTAAAGAGCCCCACTCCGATCATAAACGAAGTCATCAACAGGTAAATGTAGGTTGCTTGGAAAGTTTGCAGGAAGCAAAACAGGCTGGCTGTGACGAGACCGGTGAGGTGGGCCTGCGGGCACCAGTCAGGGTGGTATCTGAGTACGATGGACACGAGGATTGAGGCTACAAGCCCACCGGTACCACCGGCGGTGGCGAGGAAAGTTGATTGAGCCAGGCTGAGGCCTTGGGATAGACCATATGAAACGTTAAAGACAGCCCATCCGCCCGTTGCAAGGAACAGTGTCAACTCGATTTGGAGGTATAGGAACGTAAACAAGGGTTCTTCCACTAAGATGTATACATGCAGACTTGTCAAAACTGACTGAAAGGTACTTAGTCCGCCATTGCTTGCTTGTTCGTCAATCAGTGCTAAGGTTTCTTGGTCACAGTCGGACTCTGGTAGATTCTGATCTTCTGGATCATGATCTGACATGGCACGGTTCTGCAGCAATGGAGGATCGCGCTCATACAACCTTTCAGAAGTGGCGTTTGGATCCTCCGTACTAGCAGTACCTTCATCCGAAGATGTAAGCGTTACGTTTTCAGAAAGGCTGTTCGACGCCATCTGATGACGGGTTCTGGGTTCCTTGAAGGTCAGACATACAGGAAATAGGTTGAGGACAAGCCCTCCTAAAACGAGCAAAGTGCCTGAGTATCCATACGCCTCTACCAGCTTCTCAGCGATCGGTGGCATTATCATGGATCCAAAGGGAATACCTAAAACAGTCACGCAACTGAAGAAGGCAAATTGGTCTGTACCTCCGTAGTACTGAAAGATGAGGATGGTGGCGTGAAGATTGATTAACGAGCAGGAAAATCCTGGAAAAAAGAATGGGATAGAATGAGGTATAGACTGTGTATAGGTAAACCTTGAGTACCTTAGTAAGAAAATGGGGGGGGGGGGGGCGGGGGGATTATCTCTTATTTTCGCAGCATTTTTATTCAAGTGCGACGAGCACGAGAATGTTCTCAATATAAATAATTTGAACACGATTTTCTATATTAAAAAAAAATGACATCAATATCCGAGTTTTTTTCTATGGATGGACTATGGCTCCCACGAGAAGATTTCGTACTTGGTACTAGGTTGGGTAAACCCTTTGGCAGCTCACTCAGGAAGCTATACTGGGATGGCAGGTGGGCGAGTAACTGCAAGGAGTGTCATGAAATGCTGGAATGGTGTGTGGACATACATAGGCTTACATACAAAAAGGGGTTGTAGAAGTTGGAACTATTTTAATCCCGCGAGCGATTGGCCCTTGGTAACATTTGGCTTGGGTACTTAGTTGCCCATGCGTTCAGCTGCCCGCATAGTTATGAGGTTACAGTTGCCCGAATATTGTAATATCGAATTAACCGGGGCTGGGTTGCAGTTCCGCATGTCGTATCTTATACGCCTATATTCATAAGACACGAATTCTATAATAATTTGTCTTTGTTATCAGGTCTGTTGATCACACCTGATAATCGTTTTAACATGGATATGATTTCGAACTCAATAACAGATAAATCAATGCAAGGCCGACACAAGAGGGGATATCAGAAGGTAGAGACACTCCTTTCCATTTGTGTCTCAAACGGTTTAAAGTATATGCATGCATAATCCCCACACTCCCCTTCCCTTTGTCGTTACAAAATGCTAAATTGATTTGAACATCAGTCAGAATGTTCATAATGCTAACTATGCATGTTGTACTATCACGACGTTGAATATAGAATTAAGGTTTCTTATTTTGAATTCAGCGTGATCCTCCTTGCATACGTCTTATATATTTCATGCGCTCAATTTGTAATTTTTAAATTGTTTTGTCATTATTTAAATGGTCCTTTATGACTTTATGGTGCAAATTATAAGGCACGCTATAACTTGCAAGGAAAAGGCGCTGCATCAAGTACTATTTGTGAACTAGGTGTACCGCACCCCTGAATTCCTTCTAACGATATCCCTTGACATTCTAGTAGACCGACAGCCCACGAGACCGGCAAAGTCTTGTGAACTTGTGAGACCGACACGTTGGTCCCACCCTGGGCCTTCGGTCATGCCGGTTTCGTGGTTCAAGAGATAACTTTTCAGACAGCTCTTGAAACCGAAATTGGCGGTCTTGTAGGTTGTCGGTCTTTTCAATTTGCGGGCTCATGGGGTCCTCAAATTATTGCTGACGCCCCTGTATCCACCCATACTCGTACCTGACAGGAAAAACAGAAAGGAGAGCGATATGACATTCCTTGAAAAGAAAGACAACACCAGTGCAAGTCCGGCACACAATCCACCGCAAGATGTCAGCAACCTCTGGTTTCCTCCAGACTTTAGAATCAGCATTGCAATGGGCGCTTGGGCGAAAGAAGAAAAAAATAACCACAAATAGTAATTTGACACCTTCCCCTAAATCCAATGGGGAAAAGTGAAAGGATGGGTAAGGGATTAAAGCGAAAAAACCTACGGGCCATCTGTTGCATTCATCGGCAAAGCTACGGGGTAACAGGGGTACTTGTAAATTAACATGCCCTTGCTTAGGTCTACATCTTAGGCTGTACTCATCATACATGATGGGGCCTTTAGGGAGAGATCTAAGGTTCATGAGGTTTGGTTATAATTCCTCTGCACCCGGCCAAAGGCATGAATGGTAAAGCCGTACGATTGTCAATTACTGACGGATTTATCAGGTGGGGGTACACCAGCTCGTTAACCCCCAAATACGAAACGCGGTGGACCTTAGGTACATAACAAACGAAATTAACAAAAGACTTAACTCCGTTTCGTTGACAATCAGCCGTAGACGAAAGACTTCATTCATGGCGGATTGTCAACGAAACGGATTTAAATCTATTGTCAATTCTGCTTTTTGCTACGGCAGGCAGCCAGTGAAAACGAATTTGTTTGCTAAAATTATGAAAATGTAAGGGCTACTTTAAACAAACAGAACTTTGTCATTCCTTGCTCATTTTTTCTGATTGAGGTGTCATATGAAAGGGCTCTTTGAAATTCAGATGCCGCCCTCCAAACGACTTTTCGGTTTCCTCTCTTCAAATCGATTTTAATCACTTATGCATGAAATATGCATCATAATGAGTTGCATCAAATGAAAGAGGAGGATCTAAGCTTTCCAAATATGTGTCATTTATCAATTATAATTGTAATGAAGTTATGATAAAACATAGATAATTCTCGGTTTCGTTTTATCTGGAACTCACTGTATACCATGCTCTTAATCGTGGCCTGTTCCGTTATGTTATTCGTTGTTTTCCTTCTATCATTTTCTCATTCTGTCTTTCCTTATATTATTCTTTGTTTCTTCCTTCTATCACTTTCTCTTATGTTATTCTTTGTTTTAATCATTCTACCATTTTCTCTTTCTGTCTTTCCTTATGTTATTCTTTGTTTCTTCCTTCTATTCTCATGTTATTCTTTGTTTTTTCCTTCCATAACCTTTTCTTATGTATTTCTTTGTTTTAATCATTCTATCACTTTCTCTTTCTGTCTTTCCTTATGTTATTCTTTGTTTCTTCCTTCTATCACCTTCTCTTATGTTATTCTTTGTTTTTATAATTCTATAGCTTTCTCCTATATTATTCTTTGTTTTAATCATACTATCATTTTCTCTTTCTGTCTTTCCTTTTGTTATTCTTTGTTTCTTCCTTCTATACTTATGTTATTTTTTTCCTTCTATCACCTTTTCTTATTAAATTCTTTGTTTAAATCATTCTATCACTTTCTCTTTATGTCTTTCTTATTTTATTCTTTGTTTATTCCTTCTATCAACTTCTCTTATGTTATTCTTTGTTTTAATCATTCTTTCATTTTCTCTTTCTGTCTTTCATTATGTTATTCTTTGTTTCTTCCTTCTATTCTTATGTTATTCTTTGTTTTTTCCTTCCATAACCTTTTCGTATGTATTTCTTTGTTTAAATCATTCTATCACTTTCTCTTTCTGTCTTTCCTTATGTTATTTTTTGTTTCTTCCTTCTATCACCTTCTCTTATGTTATTCTTTGTTTTTATAATTCTATAGCTTTCTCCTATGTTATTCTTTGTTTTAATCATACTATCATTTTCTCTTTCTGTCTTTCCTTCTGTTATTCTTTGTTTCTTCCTTTTATACTTATGTTATTCTTTTTTTTCCTTCTATCACCTTTTCTTATTAAATTCTTTGTTTTAATCATTATATCACTTTCTCTTTCTGTCTTTCCTTATTTTATTCTTTGTTTCTTCTTTCTATCAACTTCTCTTATTTTATTCTTTGTTTTAACCATCCTTTCATTTTCTCTTTCTGTCTTTCTTTATGTTATTATTTGTTTCTTCCTTCTATTCTTATGATATTCTTTGTTTTTTCTTTCATAACCTTTTCTTATGTATTTGCAATGACGAATATCGTCATTGCCTTGTTTTCGTTCACGTTCTTCCAAATGAATATTCTTCTTCTTCTTCCCAGGAAATCGCATTCGTTTTGCACGTAGTGTTTGTTATTCCTAGTTAGGTGCTTTCCTCATGTCCATTTCCGTTCAAATTGCATAGGCATAGTCTCTAGCATCTCATCAAGGTCACCTATTTTTTCGATTTTCGAAATCACTCATGCATAACCATCCAGGCGCCATTTTGTCCGTTTCTGGTCCATTTTTAGGCCTTTCTTTCTTCCTTCCTATCTCTACTATCCTAGATCCTACAAACTTCTAATAAATTCCTCTAGATAGTCTAAGAGATGTTCTTTCATCTGCGACGCATAACCTGCCCTTCAAAATGCCATCTTCGTACTCAAAATTCAAATCCGAAACCGACTCCATCAAAAATCTCTCAAATTCTTGAAAAATTGACCCGTATAAATCTAAAACTGCCATAACTTTATCATATAAATTCAGTTTTGTTTTAAAATCTCACCGTATCCTTATCCATAATTGCACATAGCCATGCCAAATTTCATGCTCCAATGGCTATGCAAAACATAAATAGCGCCCTCTAAATTTCTGGGAATTGGCTTTCTTTCTGTGGCCGTATCTCCATTATGGCTTGGCAGACCCGTACTCTTTTTTGGATTTAGATACCCGAAGATATCCCCTTTCAAGCCATATACGAAATTATATACCCTATCTTTGACCAAATTTGAGAAAATTGCTCTCCAAATTCGTCATTTTCAAGAAAATTGCAAAATAACTTCAACTTGCTCTAAAATTGCGATCATTATACCTACAACAATGAAACTTAGCAGACACGTGTATCAATACACGTGACAACTGTCCGCCAAGTTTGGTAAATTTCAATGACCTCAGCGCAAAGTTATCGCTAAAAATGATGAACTTACTATGCATTCGGTATAGCCACAATCAGGGTGCAACTATTCTACGTACAGTGTTACGCATCTCTCCTGAAAACACAAAGTCATCTAATCAAATGTCTTGTGGCCTGAAATGTTGGACCATATGAGTTCTTCATCAGGCAGCAACTTTCGTTCGAATTTCTTTTGTGTTGGTGGTGTGAGAAAGGTAATAGAGAGCCAAAAATGCCTCTTTTTGGCTGTTACTCATTTGCACTTCAAAAATGTGTCTTTTTCATAAGGTGTTACTGTGGAATTACACAAGATTTGCCATATCCTTTTATGCCATCTTATAGTCCTTTTTATCTTCCCTCAGTATTTTTTACGGCTTGAGAATTGACTCAAGAATTGCCATACAGTGGTTATTTCTGTGAAGAGAGACGAGCGTAACGCTTTTTTTAAAAAAACAGCTATGTGCATAATTTTGCCTCTATATTTCATATATTTTAGCACTATATTAATAGGTTATTGGTTATATTTTCTGAGTAACATGTTGTCCTATCATCAGAAACAAAAAATTAAACAAAGATACAAACGTTACAAAAATATATGCCCACATTCTGATCATAAATTGTGTCCGGAATTTCCTGTAGTGTCCGTAACGGTGTAATTCCTGCTATGTGAAAATGTTTTCAAAGTTCTTATATACTTTGATTTGTGCAACTACCCCCGGGGACTAGCTGTGGTATAATAATATTCAGCTAAGCATAACAGTTTTTTGTTGCAATTTAATGAATGGCATTTGTAGTGTCCGTAACGTATGTAGTGTCCGTAACACAAGTGTGTGATGGTGTTAATGGTGTAAAAATACAGCGCGATAACTAAATACTACTAATTTGTAATTCAAATTTGATTTGATACAGTTGCTCTTCTCAATGAATCAAAACAATTCTCTTTCCATGGGAGGTTTTCTCCTGGATATGATATTTCGCAAACTAAAAACCTATTTTTCATGAATTTAATTTTAAAGATAAAAAAAAAATTGACTTACAAGTAATTTAATATCTATATTTTATTTCAACAATATCAGTTAGATGTAATAAAGTATGAAATTAAATGCATCATTGTGTTTTAGCTTCAATGTTGAGGGTAGAAAAGAGTAGGAGCCAGTGTTACGGACACTACAGATCTGTGTTACGGACACTACAGGAGGAGTAATATCAAGGCCTGGAAGCCAAACTATACCTCCTTTTCTGGATAACAGTGTTCTAAAATAAATTTTAACAATGTTAAAGCTGTCTATGACATCAAATATGTATGATGCATGAGAAAATACAATATTTTAATCATTTAATTGCCTACCTACAAAATGTATAAGTCACTACATTGTAGTTTATGTCCACACCCACATACACAATTTGGCACACACCAGTACATGTATGACTAGTATCTGCTGAAGACTATGGAAACATACCTTCTTTTGAGGACACCCCCTTTGAGGAGATTTACATATAAATTATGAAATATATCATCGTCTTCGTTTTTGCTCACAATTTCTCTTGATAAAGTAAGCTACCTATTTGATAGAGAGAGAGGAAAAAAAAATAGACTGAGGTCGCTTTTGACTTCTTTACAGACATTTTTATATACATCTGAGGATTTTATGAATACTGGTTTAATTGCCACCACCAATAATGATCACCGAACATCTGAGGATTATCGAATAAACGTATCAGAAATGGTTATTGCGTACACCATAATTTTGTATATAGATTAATTATCACTGTTTTTCGGCGTACACTGTCTAAGGTTTTACAAGTATACCACTTAGTTGGTTGGATTACTCTTCATAAAGTACACACTGTGGTCTTTTTATGACCCCAATTTTTCCAACGCTATTTTAGCGAGCTCCTAAAAATGGGTTCTAAACATACTGAATATATCCTGCAGCACGGACGATAAAAGGACACAGTGGGAACTTTCTTTTCCAAACATATTGTTTTTTCGGCCTCACTGAACAAATCTTGTAAGGTCCTATGAGTTACTTCTCAAAATAATGAAGTACATCATATTTTTGCATTTTCAA